CTGAATAACGAGCAAATCCCGTGAATTATCCTTTTGGCATTCAGTTTGTTTTGCTGTTGAGCATGCCTAAGAACTCTCAGGCATAAGTGGTTGTCAACTCGTTTACTTCGGATTGTTTCTTTTTGTACGTCTCGTAATCTTCTTCTGCTGTTAAGAAGACTAGAGAAAACTTCAAAAATATGTTAGGAACCAAAGCTAAAAAAAGTCAGATCTAATTTTATAGCTCGAGCATAATTATTTTTGGCACCTTCGGTCATATTTTTTCAGTACTGCATAGTTTGACTGTTGTTTGAAAGACAATCAAACGGATATTACAGTCACTTTTGGGAACAAAATAAAAAATCCGTAAATCAAATTTGGATAAAAAAATGAACATGCGGCAGGTGTCAATGCAAAGTTGTAAACAACTCAATAAGCAGTCTGTGAATGTGCGTTTAGGTTCACAAAACTAATTTTTCTTTTGGATGTCTCATCCAAGCAACGATTTATGCCTTACATTGCTTGTCTACGAGTGTACTACAAAATTCTTTACTACAGTAACCCTCTAAGAGGCGATTCTGGTAAATTTATAGGACGCTAGAATGCAAAAAATTCTAAGCTTAAACAACCTGGCTGATTTTTCAGTTACAAAATGTTCACGTTTGCCGGCTTTTCTTTAAATGAACATGGTTTTTGAAATGACTTTGTACTATTTTAACCCGAAAATTATGATTAAAATCTAAAATTAAAATTAGATTTAGTCGCTTTTTCAACTTTGCTTTGTGGGCCGAATAATTTACCTCTATGCAAAAACAAAAGCAAACAATGAGGTTTTTATTCGACATATTTTCTGAGCATTTTATCTGATCAATTTAATGTCACTAACATTGTTTTCTCCTAATTATATGAGCTTTTAATTTAATAATTTTGATACTTTATAAACTTCTCATTTGATAGCTTCACTTTTTTTATACACCGATTGAGAAACAAATTCGCTCTCGTTAAATCCTATTTTATGGCCTATTTATTTGAACTCTACGTAACATGTGAAATGATGTAACCGCACAGGCTTTAACCTTTGGTCCTAATGTATTTTTTCTTCACAACCCCTAATCAGTTGATGGGCCAAGAGTCAGTCAAACTCGGGATAATCTTGACTTGCAAACCCAAATGCAAAGGTTTATTTCGCAGTAGAAAAGCGTGTAAAAATCATAGAACAACGCAATGTAAATTGGCTGATGTGAAACCACGTTTCTTTCACTTTATTTAGTAGCATTTATCTCAATTGCACACTCTTGTGAAATTAGCCTTAGACAATTAGTTGCGACCTTTAACAGACTCTACAAGCCAGTATGAAAATATGTTAAGAGAAGCAGAGCTCTACATGTTCTATTTCTTTTTTTTTTTTTTTTTTTCTTTTTTCCC